AACCCGTAACCCATCTGGTGAAAACCGAGGGTTTAAAGTCAATAAGTCACATCTCCACCATTACACATAGTGGTCCTAATCGACCTGATTACTGGTGTTACATGGGCAATGATTTGAAGGTAGAACGAACACATGGATTATGGTAGGCTTTCGAACAAGTACCCTTGAATTGTCAGTCCCCCGTCCTCTGTAAGCTGATTACTGACCTACAAGACTCAGTTTCTAACCCCGGTTATCTTCCCACTGTCATCATTGTGGAGGTTATGTCCAGTTATGTTAAAGGAATAATAGTAATGATAATACGTAATTGTTCGTCTACAACACCCCTTAGCTGCCCAGTTAAGTCCTCTCCTATCACGCCTGTTTTTATCATCACTGATTCAGATAAGATTAGGTGTATCAATAAAATTTAACAGTATTACAACTTAAAGGGTATTTAATAATTCTTAGTCGACTAATTTATCAGAAATCATTAACACACGATAGTCAATGCTGCAGTAACCAAAAAGTCAGAGTTCAGGAATGTTGGCGTTAGAACGGAAAAACGCAAACTATTGTTCTTAATTCTTAATTTCGATCACAAAATGAACTTCAGTGTTATAGAATCATTGAAAATAAGCAAGGAATACTGGAAAGGTGTTTCGTCTTCGTTTGAGACTCTTTATCAATGTGCACACCCGTTGCCCTACTCACCAGATGTCGAACCCAGATCCCCTAGGTTACAGTGACTGGAATAAAATCCAATAGCTGTCCAATGAATTCTAACTTCTAACTCCGCCAGCAGCCAGTGGCACCGTGATTGTCTCTCCTCGCGCCTAACTAATCGGTGGACTCCGCTGATCAGGATTTCTCGCTAAAACTTCATGCAAATTCACTCTGTAGCGAATCACCAGTGAGCACTTGATTGATTTGAAGGTTGATCACTAATTGACTGACATCAGTTAGAGAATCATTGACCAACTATTTGACAGAAGAAGCACAGCAAAGACAGAACCTCAAGTGACTATAGAGAAGACGAAGGTGTTGAAAACGTCAGTCACTATGAACAGAAGGAATATGAATGATGTCACTTCATTCACTTGTCTGGGCAGTATCCGTCCAGCTACTGATGATGAAGATCTCAAAATCAGTCGCCATCGGCAGGGTAAGAAAGATTTTCATCACTCTGAAATTAATTTCGGAAATCTTCTGCACTGAGTGTTGCATAAATAACAAAATTCCGATTTTCAACACCGATGTAGAGTCAGTCAGTCAGCCACTCCTTCTATATAGGTCAAAAACATGGCGTGTGCGTCACGAAAAACATTTCCAACAGATTTTCCTACAGACTTTCATCAACAGCTGCCCTCTTCTCTATATATTGAAGATCAGATGGCTAGCCAGAAAGAATTAGCGATAAGAACCTCTGGGAACGAAACAATCAAGAACCTATTGGCTCAACAAATATTCCGAATAAAATAGAGATGGATTAGAAACGTTTCAAGGAGACCGTTGAATGACATCGTATGTGAGACCCTCAAGTGAGGCATCCGAAGGTGACATGTGGAGGACATCGTATGAGTCAATAGTGGGAGATCAACTAAAAGAAGACTCCAAAGAACAAGGTGAAATGGAGATATGTTGTTTGAAGCCTGATGTTCCACTCGAAGGAATCCAAGGGAATAAAATATTAGAGAACTATTGGAAAACCATTGAATCGTTGAGATCAGTTGTGCGTCGCTAGCACAGCGGTAGAGTGCTCGCCGACCACGCAGGTGGTCCGGGGTTCGATCCCCCGCTGACGAGGAACTCCCTTACCTCACTAATCCAGTAATAAGGCTGTTAAAGTGGGAAAGTTGGTCGTGAGGCTAGCAACCCCATCCTGTAAATATAATCTCCACTGCTACAGAAACTTCAAGCCTCTAACTTGAAGCCCTGGGAACGTAAAGGAATACAAAAAAAAAAAAACATTGAAATCGGTCACACCTCTTTGACTGTGGATAACTAACATTCATCGATTAAAACCCAATGACCTGATCTCCTTAGTTTGCACATTCAAGTCAATCATCTTGCTTACAGATCATTACAGAACCACGGTAAACACACTGACTGTAAGTATATATATCTCCTCGTTTCCTCCCAGCAGACAGAGTAAAAGGGATAGAGACAGACAGAAAGAGTTGAAATAGTTATGTCAAGTCAAAGACACACTCATTGTTACATAATCAACCAACTAAATAAGCAAATAAATTACAAGCCCTTACTAATAAATTCAGCTTAGACAATCAAAAAAAACAAGTAAAAGTCAAGTAAATAACTATTTTTTTGTGATGCAATATAAAATAAGATCCAGTTACCAGAATAATATTACACATGGTTATGTCGTAATCGCGTTTAACAGCCCTAATGGTTTCAGAAAAAAATCAGCAACCAAGTAACCACGTTTTCTGTGAATATTGATTGTTTATTATAAGAAGCCTAACTTACCTGGATTGTATATAACATCTATTTTATTAATCAAGTTCATGGATCGATTACACTTATTATAAACTCTATTCCACCCCATTTATTGACTCTTTCCTTCAACACCTTCCTTTTTTGCAGTTGCTATTGAAAGTGTATCGATCGTTGAACACTTCTAATGAGCATTATTATTATTATTGATCATTCCGACTGGAACACTGGGCTTCAACAACACACCTCCATTTCACCCCTGTTCTCTGCTATCCTCTCTTTAGCTGTCCTCCTCTTATCTCCTCTATGTGACCGTTGCACTGGCTCCTAACTCTTCGTTTCTCGATTCGGCCTCCAAAGCCTCAGGATGGTCGGGGGTGGGTGCCTTGCGTTGCGGGTTGGCCACCCCTCCGCACACCTCTTGAAATGCTCCCATATGACCGGGCGTCTTACATAGCCTCTCCTGAGAAAGTCCTACTCACTGCCTTCACGTGGCGTAGGTGTTTTTCAACAAAGTGAGAGGGCGAAAGCGGATGCCCGGCCCTCTTCACCGGATTGACTGTCCATTGGATGACAGTCTAGGGGAGATGGCTAAACCCTGATTCCAAACCTCCAACGACTGGCGTTTGAAGCTCACTGGAGCTCACCGGCAGACGTATGGACAAAGGGTTTGTTGGATGTCCTGGATGTCTGGCCCCATTCATAAAGGCGTATGAACCGAACTCCGGCCACCGGCTGCCAATGGATAGTGGACTCCCTACTCCACTCCTACTGCCTTGTAGGTCACACTTGGTTGTGTATAGGCTAGAGCTGCACTCTCAAACAAAAGGCCGAGCGATTCTGGGGACATCACTCGTACCAAATTCCCATGAAACTTCATGAAGTCTCTCCGTCTACGGACTCCGTCTGTGAAACAAGAATTGGATAACCCTGTCGCAAAACCTTGCATCAGATCGCGCGCCTGGGCAGCGATGATTCGAGATGTTCATGAAGCCGGCTCATCCTCCCGTAGGAGATAGCCGAAGTAAAGTAAGTAAGTTTCTCGATTCGGATTCCACTCCAGCGATGACCAGGTGTGTGATGTGTCACTCAGCAGTCTCCTCAGAGTGTGTCTCATTCATTCGCATTTTATTTGGTATATCTTTGTTCAGCGATAGGCTGTTGTTCTTGATTGAATATTTCGCAGAGTTTCTTGTTGTTTATTCTTCCTGGCTAGTTATTTGAACTTCAGTATGAAGTCAGTCAGCAAAGAGAGCAGCCTGTTGGAATTTGCTTTTCGTGACGTGAGCGCCAAGTGTTTTGTAACCCACATAGAGTAGTCAATGACTGACAACATAACATTGGTGCTTCTAAGTGCAACAGAGATTTCCACATTGATCTCCGAGTGATGAAGGTCTGTTTTTACTCTCCAGATTCTGGTACCTAGTTTTCTATTTATGATTATGATAGAAATTGTCTCTGTTTTTGCATTTCTTGTGTTCAGAGTAGAATATATAGAGATGGGGGCTTCAAACGTTGCTGAAGTTTCACTAACAATGGTGGTCTAGCACCCCTTACACTCCACCTTAATACCATCTAGTAATAAATTGTTTAAAGTGACACATAAACTCGAAGACTAGCAGGCGAAATCCAATAAACTGGTAGAAGAGGCAGGTAAGTGAACACAGAGAAGACGGAGGTGCTGAACATAACCAACAAACGAATAGCAACAACAACCAGCACCAATCAGCATCAATGGGAGACATTTGACAGAGGTTAATTCCTGGCTTCACTTATCGTTTCAACTACAAACGGAACGGATGAAGACGTCAAAGCTAGCCAGCCAGCCAGCCAGAATCGGAAAGGAGAAATACAACTTCATCAACCTGAAATCAGTTTGGAAATCGTCTGCACTGAGTCAGCCAGCATAAAGAACAAGATTTGGATTTGGCCAACGTATCACGAAAAGGACTTCCAACAGGCGACTTCAAACTTTTATCCATAGCTGCCTCTTTCGTTGGCTGGCTCCACACTAAAGATCATTTGGCCGGAAAGAATTTGCAACAAATATGTTGGAGAAAATGGAGATGGATGCATCGGGCATGTGATGAGGAGGCCATCGATTGACATTGTGAGCATTGCAGGCCATCGGTTTGAGTGGAATCTGAATGAGAAGCGACGAGTTGGTCGCCAATGCGAGTGTAACATGGAGGAGATCGTGTGTGTTGGAGGAGAAGGAGGAGATGAGAGATTATGGACAATCGTGGAGCTTATCAGTTGAAGAGGACAGTAGAAAACAAAACAAAGTTGAGATGTTTTGTTGAAGCCCTATGTTTTGCTCGGAACCCAAGGGAGTAATAATAATAATAATAATAATAATAGTAAATTAGGAGAGGTTTAGAATTGAGTTAGTTGGCTAACAGTTCGACGCACATTTCCTGCTTCACAGAGCATTTTCATTCGCCTTATTTTGAACTCTCTGACCTTTGTGTTTTTAACTTAAAGTAACTGTGAATACCTTCATTAATTGTAAAATGCTTAATTTCACCCTTTTTCTTTTCTTTTTTTTCTTTTTTAATTTATTCAAGGAATGCGTTGAATGTTGTGAAGGATGATTTACTCTCTAAAATTGATTATTTAACTTCGTAAGTTCCATGCCTGTATATTTTTTAAATTTTATATTGGTACAAACAATACGCATATTGTATAATAATAATACTAATAATGAAACCTTTATTATGGACAATAGGTTCACAAAAGGTACATAGTTCTCAGTGTAATTTATTATATTGCATAATATTTTCGCTTCATTCTTTATCTGTAAGAAAAATCCAGTCATCTATGAGGTATCACATGTGACGCAGTACTGTTTGATCTAAAACACACATATTTTCCCTTCGTTTCCCAGCAATAAGCACTGGTAGTTAGACGGCGAGTTAAAGCCAATGTGCTTGATTGCATCTTACCACTTAAGGACAATAGGAATCCGATAAAATCTCATATTTTCAAGTTAGAGAAGCATTGGAAAACAACCACAGGGAGTACTGGACAACCAGCTGTTTCCTCCGTCCTAATTTGGAACTCTTCAGCAGTATGCACCCACATCACAGTGGGATTCGAACCCACGGCCTTCTCGTTACAAGGCTGGCGAGCTAGCTCGTAGACCATTAAGCCACTGGGACCCGATCCAATGGCCAGTCCATGAATTCTAACTTCTACCAATTCATGACATAGTGTGACCACTTCGCAATGTCTTCTTCTTTGGTGGGTCACTGGCTCACCTTCAACTTGCTGTACCCTACTGGTCACGGCTTCCCAATGGTTCTCCAACTGATGTCAACTCATGATGAAATCCTCTAACCGAAATATGATGTATTGTTTTGTTGGGTGGATGGATATTCAGCATAGCCCAATGATTCGAGCAGGTCTTTGCCTTCTAATTTACTCATATTATGATTAACAACTGGTGTCACCCTTTGCTTCTATAAACAATCACTTAAATATTAAGGCGATTATTATGTAAAGTGTAAAGGAGAGTGGGAACGAGAAAGCGAGAGAGAGAGATGGTTACGTCATCCATAAGGAATTCCAAACGAAAATAACACTCACTTCACATGAAAGTAAATCCTGAAGAGATGAGTGTATTGTCTAGGATGGACAATGAATGAAATCTTTGGAATTAAATTATCCAGCTTAGGGGATAAGAAAATAACATCAGTTACCTCTATCTACGGAAGTCGCAAATCTTCTAAATTATTATTTCAGAAAGCACTTAACCCCAACACCTAGTTACATTCATATAAAAATCCCCAAGATGATATTTTTATTTAAAAACGGATACGAGACAATATTTGACGTGGTTGGCTTGAATTAAGGGATCACCAAATGCTTCACCTATGTTCAGATATCTGTCATGATCTCACTCTGTTTGAGAGAGGTCTGGTCAGGACTTGTTATATATATATATATATATATATATATATACTAAAGTCATTCGTAAGCACTAGGGTCGGCGTATTGTGCAGTCGAATTACCATTGGTGGTACAGAGAAAATTAAAGTCTTTAGTCACTGTCGAGGAGGATTTACGAAAAGGAGGCGTGAGCAAAGAGACTACGATTAGTTATTGTGACATAAGTGTTTGTAATGTAAATATGTACGTCGGTGGCGCAGGGGCAACTATGCCTTACGTGGTTCGGGATTCAATCCCCGGCCGACGAGGCACTCCTTTGCCTTGCTAAGCCAGTAATAAGACTGGTAAAGGGGGAAGGTTGGACATGAGTCTAGCAACCCCATCCCATAAAAATAAGCACACACAACTGCTACCGAAACTTCAAGCGCCTAACTTGCAGCTCTATGTTCCACTGGGAACAAACAGGAATAAAAAAATAACAATGTCAATCTGAATGAAGAATTGATATAAGAATAAAACTTGGGCACTGTGGTAGAGTGTAATTCCATTATGGGTAAATTTTATTTTGATAGAGTCTCACAGTGTTATACAGTAATATTTACTGATGACGTTTCGAGCACAATTTATTGCTCATAATCATATCAAGGTAATCACACGACTTCCTAAATTCATTTATATAGTTCCATTATTTTTCACTTGATTTCCACTTGATTTGATTGGTAGTGTTATTTTCCATATTTCGGGTATTAGTGATGATTCATTCCTATTGCACGTGTTGGGTGTAGATTCGATGAACAAAGATTCAGTAATCAACCTCTCTCTCCACCTACCTAGATTACTTTTTAGAATTTTAACCCTCTCCCACCCTATTGTGTGGTTGTGTGTTAATGCATGCATTGCAATTGCCGAGCTTTTTTCTAAATTACTTATCTTTTCTGGGTCAACCATTCTTATCTTAGCTAAATTCTTATGTTCTGACAATCTGACTATTCCTGACCTACTAGTTTGACCTATGTAGTTGACCTCACAGTCATTGCAGGGTATTTTGTAAATTATATTATTTTGTCTAATTGGGTCCACTGGGTCCTTTAACCTACAGAGCTTGTCCCTGAGTGAGTTTGTAGGTTTAAATGCCACCCTAATTCCTGCTTTATTTAGAATCCTACGTAGGGTCTCAGATGTCCCCTCTTTATATGGTATAACTGTCGATGACTTATATTCTCTCTTATTTATGTTATCATTACTAGTTCCACAATTATTTTTATTTTTATTTTGTTTCTGGCCTTTAGTTATCTTCCTAATGAATTTTAAAGGATAATTATTCAACACCAACGCTTCTTCTATCTGTTTTATTTCGTCGTTTAGGTCTTTTTTTGTGCTACTTAGTGCTATGGCTCGGTTTGTTAGACACTTAACTAAGCCTGCCTTAACAGTTAACGGATGCGACGAATTAAAATCTAAATATCTATTAGAATGCGTTGGTTTTCTATACACACTAGTGTGAAGTTTACCTTCTTCTATTCGTTTTATTTTACAATCTAGCATAGCCAACTCTCCTTGTTCATCTTCCGATTCAAATGTGAATTTTATCCCCTCTACTAGTGAGTTAATATGTGTCAAGAAGCTAGAGATATGTTCTGTTTTTAACACTGTGAAAGTGTCATCCACATATCTCCACCATATTTTTGGAGTAGGATTAAACGTATTAAGTGCCATATTTTCCCAGCTATCCATAAATATATCTGCTACGATAGGGGATATTGGTGATCCCATTGCTACACCTTCAGTTTGTCTATATATTTTTCCTTGGAATCTAAAGATAGTAGATGTGAGGCATAGCTGAACCCCTAAAATAATTTCTTCAATGGACAGCTTTGTCCTATGATTGAGTTCAGTATCCGCAGTTAGTTCTTTTTTAACTGCTTCTAAGGCCATATTGACTGGTATATTAGTATAAAGACTGGTTATATCAAAACTAACCATTGTTTCATCATTATCTAGTTGTATGTCATTTAGTTTATTTTTCATTTCATATGAATTAGTTAGTCTAGAATTTGAACGATTTCTAATGGGACATAATATTAGAGCTAAATGTTTTGATAATTCATATGTAGGGGTATTTCTAAAATCTACTATTGGTCTTATGGGATAACCTGGCTTATGTATTTTAATAGTACCATACATCCTACTAGCATTATTAGTTTTAGGCATTAAATTAAACCATTTTGACTCACCCAGTGACGGCTTCATTCTGCGTACTAATTCCGCTGTGGATTTTTTAACCTTATTCATTATTGTGTCTACGGGCTTCTTAATTTCCTCATATGGACCCATTTCAATATGTTCATTGACTTTCTTGATGTAGTCAGATTTATCCAAAACTACGGTGGCGTTTCCTTTGTCAGCTTTTGCGATGACAATATTTTTATCCTGTTTTAGATTAATTAAAGCTTCTCTTTCCGACTTTGTCAAGTTTGATTTTGCCTTCTTTTGATTTTTTAGGGTTAATGCACATTGTGCTCGAACCTCTTCTGCTGTTGTTTTATCTATTGAACCTAGTGCTACTTCTATGTTAGGAATGACATCCTCTGGTTTTAATTGTTTAAAAAATCATATAATTCCGAAATATTTACGTCTACGTACTCCAATTACTTCAAGTAAAATAACATCAGCTGCCAAAAATGTCAGTAGATTATGTCTAAGAGAAGAATTACATCGAGTTACTGTGAAACTAAATAATTTACGAAATGAAATAGAAAAAGTCAAACACAAACTCAAATATATGATCAATGACAAAGATTATACAATTATTCTTGAAACATCCAAAAAAGCTAGAGAATCTGCATTGAGAAAATCAAAAAACACACAAATCAAAAAATTCAACAAACTTATTGAAGAAAAGAACACAGCAAATGAAATTGATGTTAATGCTTCATCCTCGATCGACAAAACAAAGTGGGTGATCAACCTCTCATCAAGGGAACTAAGCTCCAGTGAGATAAAAGTACTGGAGAAAGGACTAAATTTCAACGTAACAGTTAATAAATTAAAACCAGAGGATGTCATTCCTAACATAGAAGTAGCACTAGGTTCAATAGATAAAACAACAGCAGAAGAGGTTCGAGCACAATGTGCATTAACCCTAAAAAATCAAAAGAAGGCAAAATCAAACTTGACAAAGTCGGAAAGAGAAGCTTTAATTAATCTAAAACAGGATAAAAATATTGTCATCGCAAAAGCTGACAAAGGAAACGCCACCGTAGTTTTGGATAAATCTGACTACATCAAGAAAGTCAATGAACATATTGAAATGGGTCCATATGAGGAAATTAAGAAGCCCGTAGACACAATAATGAATAAGGTTAAAAAATCCACAGCGGAATTAGTACGCAGAATGAAGCCGTCACTGGGTGAGTCAAAATGGTTTAATTTAATGCCTAAAACTAATAATGCTAGTAGGATGTATGGTACTATTAAAATACATAAGCCAGGTTATCCCATAAGACCAATAGTAGATTTTAGAAATACCCCTACATATGAATTATCAAAACATTTAGCTCTAATATTATGTCCCATTAGAAATCGTTCAAATTCTAGACTAACTAATTCATATGAAATGAAAAATAAACTAAATGACATACAACTAGATAATGATGAAACAATGGTTAGTTTTGATATAACCAGTCTTTATACTAATATACCAGTCAATATGGCCTTAGAAGCAGTTAAAAAA